GGGGGGGGGGGGGGGGGGGGGGGGGGGGGGGGGGGGGGGGGGGGGGGGGGGGGGGGGGGGGGGGTTGGTTGGGTCGGTGGGCGCTGGGGTGAACCATGCCGTTGATGCAAAATAGACGAGTTGAGCATGGTCAATGGCGAGGGAGAGAAAAAGGGAGGGCTTGGCAAAGGTTGCAGCATATAAAGGTAGCGAGGACGGACTCGAGAGAAAGAGAGAGAGGGGGGGTGGGGCGGGGAGAGAGACAGACAGAAAGAGAGAGACAGATAGATAGAGAGAGAGCGGCGGTTGCCGACGGTGCTGGCTCCACACGCCCTCCGGCTTCAGACACGAACAACAATATCCAAACCTACCCCACCGCCACCAATACCAACACCACAAGGTCAAAAAGTGCCACAGGGGAAACATGCCTCAGGAGGTTGCCCGCGCTGCTCACCTTGCGCTGTTGACTGACGATCCACTGTCGAGCGGGCCGTGCGTGTATCTCCTTCTGGTGCTCCACGAGGTTAACCGCACGGTCGGCCTCCATCATGGCACACCTTTCCTCCTTCTCCACCTTCGCAACAAGGGGACGGCAGTAGCGGCAGCAGCGTCATTGCGAGCACGCACATTCCGATCACATGGATCCCCCGTGCACGGCTCTTGTCAGGCTCGCTACCCCTCACTGCCGGTTAGAGCCGTGGGTTCGAATCTCTCGGGGGGTACACAATCTAGCAAAACTTTCGCGATTACGGCCGCATCCCCGACTTTTCTTCACGCGCGTACACAGCAACTTGAGGGCGAGGGGTGTGAAATCGTAAAAATGGCCGGCAGCACTGGGTGGACAACGACAGGACACGAAAACTGCGGTGTCTTGTCAGGCAAAACAAGGCCTCCGACTTTTGTACTCCCACGCCCCAATCAAGCGGTCAGGATAGGCAATGGATCCTTCAAGCAAAACATCGTACCACATCGGTGGCACAGGTGTGGTTGTATGTGTCGTTGTTAATAGCATCTACCGCGCTAACTGGCTGACCAACGAAAAGACGTCAGCCTCAGTGCGGTGGAAAACACAAAATGCTCTCATGGGCCACGATCTGGGACTTTGTGGCCGAGTGTTACCGGGGAGTCTACGCTACTCTCCGGGTCAAAGACAGACACCGTAGAAATAACAGAAGAAAGCAGCGCGTGTGTACCATGGCTGCTACTGCATTTGATAGCACGTTCGTTTTGAATTGCTTTCATCGTCTTCCCTGCATTTACTACCGCCACTCTCGTCACCAATATTCTCGATACTTTATGGCAGTTCCGTCCAGTCCTGTGGCGTTCGTTGTGAGAAAGGTCATCTGGCTACAACCCTGCGCTCTCTCCTGCGCCATGTTTCCCTCGTCCGCGATCGCCTTCACTCTCCTTTTATTCACCTTCCTTCATCTCTGTCAGCCACTCCCAGAAGAAATACCCCCAATACCATCGCTATCGTTTTCACCAGTGGTGGAAATTGGTTGGTCAGTACTCCATGACGTTTGAAAGAGTTCGTACCGACAGAAAACGTCTCCGAATTCTATTGGTATGGTAAAAGCCTCCAGGCGAAGCAAGGCTGTTTCGTCGTCGAACTTTCCCCCTTCAAAATGCTTCGTAGGCCAATCGTGGGTGGCGACAGCTACGCTTAACCGATCGGTGCCTTGGCCAAGAACGCCATACGTTGAACAAGCAGCCATTAGGAGCTTCGATCTACCCAGTTTGTGTGTGTGGTGTTTTCATCCCTCTTATCCTGGGTATGGTGCAGTTGTACTCCTTCCGCAATTGGCTGGACGCACCGGCCGAATCCACACGGGAGGAAGATCAGACACGAAAAAACTGGAACGAGTTCCCACAGGAGGAAGGAGAAACACTTACAACAACAAGTGCACACAAGGGGAAGATGGAGCACATACGATAATGAGGGCACGCTGGAGGAAGAGAAGGCACTTACAATAACGAGTTCAATTGTCAGTGCCTCATCTTCCTTCAGTGTGCCCTCGCCATAGTATGTGCTTCATGTTCCTCTTGAGTGAGCTCGTTGTTTCAAGTGTTGCATCTTCCTCCTGTGTGAACTCATTACCAGTGGGAGGAAGATGAAACACTTCAAATGACGAGTTCACACAGGACGAAGGTGACGTGACACGCCTACTACAACGAGTCCACACAGGACGAAGGTACCGTGACACGCCTACTATAACGAGTTCACACAGGAGGAAGGCAAAAAACATACTGTAGATGGCAACGTACCTTCTCCTCTGTGAGGATGGCCTTAACGGAAGCCTCCATGCCCTCAATCTTCGACCTGAGTGAGCGACACCAAGTCCAGTCGAGGTTGGGGGGGGAGGAGGAGGTATCAAGCAAAGGTAACAGGGGTACCCCACTCCAGAGACCCCACCTCAAGAACAAATAAAATGAGCAACAGCAAAGAAGAACGACCAACACACGGCACTGGGTAGGCGTGCTGGATGTCGTTTAAGGGGGACGCCATGGAAATCTCGTGGTAACACACCACAGCAGTGGCAAAAGCCACGAAAATTCGTGGTAACACCCACCAGCAATAGCAAAAATCTGGAAATCGTTTCAAGGGTCGGTTTAGTACAGTACAGTATTTTTAGTACAGTATCGAGAATCCGTACTAAGGTTAGTACCAGTCCAGTATGTGAGATGAATACTGTACTCACCTGAGTACAGTACAGAGACCCTGTACTAAACTCAGCAGTACGCTTAGTACAGTATGGAGAGCCGTTCTAAACGCAACAGTACGTTTAGTACAGTATCGAGAATCGGTACTGAGGTTTGTATCAGTACAGTATGAAAAACCGTACTAAAAGCAACAGTATGTTTAGTACAGTATGGAGAGCGGTACTAAAATTACAGTATGGGAAGCCCTACTAAAAGCGATAGTACGATTAGTACAGTATGGAGAGCTGTACTTAAGTGTTAGTACGCCTAGTACAGTATGAAGAGCCGTACTAAACGCTATAGTACGCTTAGTACACTATGGGAAGCCCTACTAAACGCAATAGTACGCTAAGTACAGTACTGAAAATACTGAGACAACAACTGAATGTAAGCGTACGCCCTCATGATTCCAACGCCAACCATCCAATGTTATGAACCCCCCCCCCTCGATGCTCCCTCGCACCCTCCCTCTCC